GAGGAGGAGGAGGCGGGGAAGGCCGGGACGGGACGGGCGGATGAGGCGGATGTGGTGAGGGAGGGGGGGTCCGCGAAGGCGAAGGCAAAGCAGGAGGGAGTGGAGCAAGGAGGCGGAGGAGGAGGGAGGAGGAGGCGGAGGAGGAGGAGGAGTAGGAGGAGGAGGGCGGAGGAGGAAGAGGAGGGGGGAAGGAAAGAGGCGGGGGAGGGGGGAGTGGGCAGGGGGTTAGAGGAGCTACATTGCTTCTCTGCTGGCCAGGAGATTTCGTGGCCGGGCTGGGAAGAGCTCGCTACGAACATCAAGCAACGCATCAGGGAAAGAGGCGCGCGCCCACCGAATGACAGGAGGAAGAAGACTGTGAGGAATGATTTGAGGGAGTTCTCGTGGAACTCACGTCATGCTGACCTGCGGCGCCGCCAAAGGAAGTGAGGCCAAGAACGTCTCCTGTATCATATCCAGCGAATCCAGCGCAATCAGCGGCTCCGCCTGAAGATTCGCAGACTGGCCCTCTCGCCTGGGACATCCTCACAAAGTCGGCCCCGGGGGACCGCCCTCGAGTGTCTTCTGACACAGTGTCCGGCGAATCAGGCGCACGCCCCTTGTTCTCTCATGCAGAGACCTCCGATCAACAGCAGGGCGGCTGGCTAATAATGGGACGACTAAGAGGAGTACGATAACCATCGTAATAACATTGTTAGCCCGTGTGGGTCCCAAGCAGTGTGTTTCTATCAAGATGTGGGAAATAGTATCTGAGGAGCAATCAATGTGTTGCTATTTATGTGGTGCATCCTGTCGAACTTTATATTGGCAGCTCCTCTGCTCGCGAAGTCCCACCCACCCACCCGCAAATTGGTTTGCAAACCTTATGCAGCGGCAATTGTGATAACTGCTTGGCGCTGGCCGGCGGCACATCGCTGCTGCCGCGCTATCGCGTGCAGGTTCGCGCGCAAAGCGGCCAGCTAGTCTGTCGCGACCGTCGCGGCCGCGGTGGCGCTGACCGTTGGGCACTTCCCAGCGCGTCCCGCAGACCGCGCTGACGCGCGGGCACTTCAGTGCGAGTCGTTGGCTCGGGCGGGCACGGTATCATAGCGACGTCGACAACAGCAGACACGATGACGACGGCTAGGCCAATGATGGCGCCGATGCTGACCACGCCGATGACGATGATTGTGCCCACGAGTCGATTGCTCTTCGAGGATATAGCCAGTCATCGCCATAGGTGCACAGCTCTCGATTGGCGATGGGTCTGGCATGATTATGTGTGTGCGATACAAGTGGCATAGCTCCCATGGCTGGTTCAACAGGCCTCAAAGAAGATTGTGCCAGGCTTCTCAGCTCTGTAGATGGGTCTAGAGCGTGGTGGCTCGAGGCAACCATCCCGAGAGACCCATGCTCCAAGTTAGCTGCGCCTTGATGCCATCAGCTCTTGGAGGGGGAGAACCCCCACAGGAGCAGAAAACAGGCGGATGGAAGAGACTGCTTCTGGCCTCGCTCGATCTGCCCTCCGTGGAGTTGTCCTCTTTATTTTTTGTTGGTGCGAAATCGGGACGGGCAGGCCCGGGAGCGTTTGCGAGGCCCCCCTTGGCTGCTCTTATCCTGATTCGGGATTTGGATGATGTGACACCCTCATTCGCCATCGTGTCAAGCTTCCGGCGCGCGCCGCGGGGCCTTCTGACGCGACGGCCGGTGCTGGCAAAATGAGACGGCGCAGGCCCGCTTGTTCAGTCAGTGCTACTCCGCGGACTACCGTGGAGCTCCGCCGGCCGTCCGGTGTCGCTGTGCTGCCCTGCTGTGCGAGGTGCCTGGTCGGCCCTAGAAAGCCACGTGCCCCTGCCAATGCCCGGCCTCGGGGTGGAACTCGTCGTGTGGCCTTCGTTCTGCTCTGCAGGCGTGTAGTGCTCTGCCCGTGGCTGCGGCGGTCGCCCGACTTTCTGCCCTCTGCCTTTCTGTGTCTGGCCACGCGCGCCAGTATTCCAGGCGGCAGTATCCCTCGGTTGCCGTGGGGGGAAAAGGTGCTGTCTGTTGCACGCCACGCCGGTCAGGTCCAAGCAGTTGAAGTGGTTGAAGCGGTGTTTCGTTCAAACGATCAGAGTAGCCCAAGACTGTCCGAGATGGCTTCCAAGACGGCCCAAGAGGCATCACGAGACTTTCAATGTCGCCGAAGAGCGCTCCAAGACGGCCCCTATACAGCTTCAATGCGGCTCACGAGGCTTCCAAGACGCCCAGAAACCCGAGAGGAGGCACAAGACATTGGTTTCCCTTTTTCGTTTTTGATTGATGTTTTGGTTTCTCGCTTTTTCGGGCAAAGAGCCGCCCAAGACGGCTCTGATTGCTTCCCAGTTCGAGCCGAGGCGGCCCACGAGGCTCCCAGGACCCCTTGAAGACGGCCCAAGAGGCACCAGAACTCGCCCAAAGATGGCCCTTGAGCCTCCCGAGATAGCCTCCAAGACGACCTAAGACGGCCCAAGAGGCCCCACCCAAGTTCACCCCAAGATGGCCCTTGAGCCCCCCGAGAGCCCCCAAGACGGCCCAAAACAATCCCAAGACAGCCCCAAAGGGTCCCAAGACGGCCCAAGTTGGCCCCAAGACGGCCCAATAGGATTCCCTAGCCATTTTGGCTCTTGCCGTGTTTGGCAGGAGCAGTCGTCGCTGGAGTTTTTTTGTGCGACCGCCTTGCTTCCCACGCTGATTCGTCCAGAGGTAGTTTGCGAGCATAGGGGAACGACCAATGACATAAATATACCACTCGGAGGTCCGCGCGGATTTCTTGGATCGGCGTTGGAACCCCCGCCCTGGCGCGCTCCGCGCGCCAGGGGGCGGCGCCGGAGGCGCCGCCAGGGGTACCCAGTGCCGATCCGAGAAACCCGCGCGGACCTCCTAGTTGTTATGTTTATGCAATTTTTCGTTCCCCTAGGGCATGCCGGTTCCGAGGGCGCTGATGGCTTTCTGCGGGGGCCCAGTTGTCCTGGCGCGCGGCCAGGGGGCAGTGGGAGGCGGAGCGAGCACAGGATCGACCACGGCGACCCCAGCCTCCGCTGCCGGGCAGCAGCTGCCGGCTGTGGCCGACATTACGCCAGCACTGTCGGCATTCGCAGTCTTCGACGAGGCCGGAGGGTTTCTCCAAAGGGCTTAGGCGACCCGTCCTCCTCCTCCTCCCTCCTCCTCCTCTCCTCCTCCTCCTCCTCCTCCTCTCCTCCTCCCCTCCTCCTCCCTCCCTCCTCCTCTCCTCCCTCCCTCCTCCCTCCTCCTCTTCCTCCTCCTCCTGCTCCTCCTCCTCCTCCTCTTCCTCCTCCTCCTCCTCCTCGGGTTGCCTACGGCCCCGGGGGAAACCGTGCAGGCTGGTGAGGCCAGTGGGCATTCCAATTGGACTCGGTCCTACGGCGTGGTCACCCAGACAAGCAATATCCATTCAGGGCAATACTGCAGTGCGTCTCAGAAAGGAACCATGTTCTACGCATACGTTCCAGTAGCCGACTACGTGTGGAGTGTCGATGCTTCCAGCGAGGACGACGACACTGTTGGCATTGTGTTCCGCGTGGCTGACACTGAGAATTTGTACAAGTATTCGCACTCCAACGATGAGGCTGGTTGTCGCACTTTGTACAAGATCCAGAATGGCGCACGGCGTGAATTATGGCGAGCCTCGTCGTACGCGCCCTACACGCATGGCCGCAAGTATGCTTTCCAGGTGCGGACGGACGGCTGCCGCTTCGTTGGTCACTACCGAGGTGAGGAGGACTTCGACATCACCGACCCCGACTGCGTGGCAACCGGTGGCGTGGGCGCCTACTCCTGGGCGAACTCTGCCGGCCGGTGGAGCAGCATGCTCCTGACGACGGCGGTGGCCTCGGTGGCTGCGGCCCCAGCGCCGGCGGCAGGCCGTGGGCAGGCGCTTGGACTGGACCCGGCCCTCACGGCGGCCCTCGTGGCGCTCGGCGCCGTCCTGGGGGCCTGTGGCGCCAGCGCGCTCTGGTGCCTCGCCGCGAGGTGCAGAAGGGCGCCCACCGCGTCCTCGTCCAAGGTCTTGGCATCGCTCGGACATGTGTATTTTTCCGTCGGCGAGGACCATCGAGGAGCATCCTGGATCATTTGGCGAAAAAGCCACGCACGACACCGAAAAAAGCACAGGGAATGGACGTCCGAGCGATGGCCAGAGGTCGCCCACGGGAAGTTCCTCGACGACGTGGGCAGCCTCGGTCGCCAGGGCGAGCTGCCGCAGATCTGTGGGAGTCCCACGGGGGTGTCGGCCGTGTGAGTCGGCGGCAGAGGGAGTGCGGGGGAACGTGCGGAACGGTGAGGGAGGCCGACAGGTTCTCTACGCTGTGTCAGCGCGTGATTTCTGGCATGGCCGTAAGCAAGGCGGTTGGGCTGCCGAAGGCAGCCGCTGGCGTAGACCATCTGCAGAGCACGGGCGCTCCCGAAAGTTTCGCCAACTGTAGTAATGTAGCATGGTCATAGCGCTACCGTTCCCTCGTTTCCGCATATTTGGGCCTCCTGGGAGGCCCTTGGGAGGCCTTGTAGTAAGGTGTATATATCGTAGCGCGCCGCCTCAGTTTCGCCCTTCCACTTGAGATGGTAAATGTGCCGTCGTTCCAAGTGCGGCTTCATGTCTTCCCAGAGGCTGGGTGCCCCGTAGGTTTCCGTGGCATGCAGCGTTGAACTTCTCTACGCCTAGGTGGCACGACCCCGCCTGCGCCCGTTCGCCTCGACACGGCCCAGAGCCCGGTCTTGTACACGGGCAGAGTGCGACACGATGGATTGGACTCTCCTCCTCCTGCCCGTCCTTCCCTTCCCCCCCCCTCCCCCCGCGGGTCCGCGGGGCGGACTGCCGCCAAAGTCTGTTGCCGTCTGGCCCCCGCCTCCCGCCCTCTGCCTTCAGAAGCTCGTCGCCGCCTGTGCCCGCAGACGGTGCCGCAGTCGGCGTCCCTCCCTCCCTCAAGGCAGGACGGGTATGGTGTCCTCAGTATTGGCCATATTTTCTATCATCAACATGTTTGGCCGTAAGCAGGTTGCTGCTCAGCAAGTTCTTGGTAGGTCAACCCTTTCAGGAAGGCCATGTTGATGTCGAGGGAAGCAGTGATCCATTTCTTCTTGCACGCTGCCGTGCTGGCGAGTAGTAGCTGGCTTGACCGCCGCGCTGTTCCCGAAAAGGTTTCTACGTCGAAGGCTTCAAGATCCATGGAGCCTCGGAGTACTAAGCGTAATCTGATCGTACGTTCCATCTCGCCTTTCTCGTTCTTCATCAACTTCCATTCGTACACATATCTCGAAGTCATGATGTTTGACGCTTTAGATATGTATTGCATGTTGAAGCCCTTATTGTCAAACCATGTCTTGAGTTCAGTGTAGAGGGCTTTACATACTTTCTCGGGATTTGGCTGGATGTCAGCTTTCGCGAGGAAGTCGTCTTCCTTGGCGACCGCAGCTCGCTTTGCAGCGGCGGTAACATATCTCGCATAGTGGTCACACGGTCGGCATATGGTATCTTGTGTTGTTGTTCGGACAGGACTACCTTTGACATTTCTGACATGTGGCCGTCGGGGCCCCTCCAAATGGGGGGGCCACAAGAGCAGGAAAAATCAACGAATCGACACCAAATGTGTATTAACTTGGCACGTTCTGATAAAGGGGCCTCCTGGGGCCTCCTGGGAGCCTCCTGGAAATCTCCTGGGGGCCCCTGGGGCCTGTCCTGGGCGTCCTGCGGCCTCCTGAAGCTCTCTGGGGCCTCCTGGGGCTCCCAGGGTCCCAGGGGGGATATGTAACATGGAACATGTGGTCTTCTGGGACCCCAGGCTGGACCACCTCTTGCGCGGCATCTGGGAGCTCAGAGTTGCGAGGATGTCTCAGGCGAAACGGGCCGGACCACCTCGCGCACGGCATCTCGGAGCCCAGAGTTGCGAGGATGTGTCAGGCGAGACGGGCCGGACCACCTCGCGCAGGGCATGTCAGAGCTCATAGCTGCGAGGATGTCTCGGGCGAAACGGGCTGGACCACCTCGCGCGCGGCATCTAGGACCCCAGAGTTGCGAGGTTGTCTCAGGCGAAACGGGCTGGACCACCTCTTGCGCGGCAGCTCATAGCTCAGAGTTACGATAATGTCTCAGGCGAAACGGGCCAGACCAACTCGCGCGCGGCATCTCAGAGCTCAGAGTTTCGAGGACGTCTCAGACGAAACGTGTCGGACCACCTCTCGCGCGGCATCTCGGAATGCAAAAGCGCGAGGATGTCTCCAGCGAAACGGGCCGGACCACCTCTTGGGCGGCATCTCGGGGCTCAGAGTTGCGTTGATGTCTGAGGCGAGATGTGCAGGACCACCTCGCGCAGGGCATCTCTGAACCCAGAGTTGCGAGGATGTCTCCAGCGTAACGGGCTGGACCACCTCGCGCGCGGCATCTCGGACCGTAGAGTTGCGACGATGTCTCGGGCGAAGCGTGCTGCGAAGACGTCTCAGGCGAAACATGCCGGACCACCTCGAGCGCGGCGTCTCAGAGTTCAGGTTGCGGGGGCCTCCTGGGGCCTCGTGGGGCCTCCTGGGGACCTCCTGGGGCTCCCTCCTGGGCCTCCTGTGGCCTCCTGGACCCCGCCTGGGGCTTCCTGAAGCCTCTTGGGGCTCCCAGGGGGGGATATCTTGCGAGGATGTCTCAGGCGCAACGGGCCCGTACACCTCTTGCGCTGCACCTCGGGGCCCAGAGTTGCGAAGATGTCTCAGGCGAAACGGGCCAGACCACCTCTTGCGCTGCACCTTGGGGCCCAGAGTTGCGAGGATGTCTCAGGAGAAACGGGCCGGACCACCTCGCAAGCGTCATATTTGAGCCCGGAGTTGCGAGAATGTCTTAAGCGAAACGGGCCGGACCACCTCTTGCGCTGCACCTCGGGGCCCAGAGTTTCGAGGATGTCTCAAGCGAAACGGCCCAGACCACCTCTCGCGCGGCGTCCCGGAGCGCAACTTTTTAAGGATGTCTCAGGCGAGCCGGCCAATCCCGGCCAGCTCAGAAACCAGAGTTGTGAGGATGTCTCAAGCGAAACGGCCCAGACCATCAGATTTTTCCTAACCATCCTGTGGTGTTGGGTCTTCGTTTTGAAGAGACAGCGTCCCGCGTTCCTTCCTCCCGCTGCCCCCTCCCTCCTCCCTCCTCCCCCTTTTTGCCTTTGCTCTCGGACACCTCTCACACGTTTCGAAGCCCCATAGGGAGCTCCACCGAATGCCCTAGTGGAGGGGGGTCGCATGCGGTTCCCCCACCCAGGGCAGCGTTTCGTGTCCCCATAGGGAGCTCCGCCGATGGCCCCAGTGGGGGGGTCGCATGCTGTTCCCCCACCGAGGGCAGCTCTTCGTGGCCCCATACGGAGCTCCGCCGATGGCCCCAGTGGGGGGGGGTGCATGCGGTTCCCCCACCCAGGGGAGCGTTTCGTGTCCCCATAGGGAGCTCCGCCGATGGCCCCACTGTGGGTGTTCGCATGTGGTTCCCCCACCCAGGGCAGCGTTTCGTGTCCCCATAGGGAGCTCCGCCGATGGCCCCAATGGAGGGGGGGTCGCATGCTGTTCCCCCACCCAGGGCAGCGTTTCGTGCCCCCATAGCGAGCTCTGCCGATGGCCCCAGTGGGGGGGTCGCATGCGGTTCCCCCAGCGTCTCGGGCCCCATAGGGAGCTCCGCCGATGGCCCCAGTGGGGGGGGTCGCATGCGGTTCCTCCGCCCAGGGCAGCGTTTCGTGTCCCCATAAGGGGGCTCCGCCGATGGTTCCAGTGGGGGGGGTCGCATGCGGTTCCCCCACCCAGGGCAGCGTTTCGTGTCCCCATAGGGAGCTCCGCCGATGGCCCCACTGGGGGGGGTGTTCGCATGTGGTCCCCCCACCCAGGGCAGCGTTTCGTGGCCCCATAGGGAGCTCCGCCGATGGCCCCAATGGAGGGGGGGTCGCATGCTGTTCCCCCACCCAGGGCAGCGCTTCGTGTCCCCATAGGGAGCTCCGCCGATGACCCCAGTGGGGGGGGGTCGCATGCGGTTCCTCCGCCCAGGGCAGCGCTTCGTGCCCCCATAGGGAGCTCCGCCGATGGCCCCAGTGGGGGGGTCGCATGCGGTTCCCCCCACCCAGGGCAGCGTTTCGTGGCTTCATAGGGAGCTCCGCCGATTGCCTCAATGGGGGGGCGCGTGCAGTTCCCCCACCCAGGGGAGCGTTTCGTGTCCCCATAAGGGGGCTCCACCGAAGACCCCAGTGGGGGTGCCCGCACGCGTTTCCCCTACACAGGGCAGCGTTTCGTGGCCCCATGGGGAGCTCCGCCGATGGCCCCAGTGGGGGTGCCCGCATGCGGTTCCCCCACCCAGGGCAGCGTTTCGTGTCCCCATAGGGAGCTCCACCGAAGGCCCCAGTGGGGGTGCCCGCATGCTCCCCCCCCACCCAGGGCAGCGCTTTGTGGCCCCATGGGGGGCTCCACCGATGGCCCCAGTGGGGGTGTTCGCATGTGGTTCCCGCACCCAGGGGAGCGTTTCGTGGCCTTATAGGGAACCCCACCGAATGCGTTGCTCACAGAGACGGTACTCACAACTGCATATGGTTGGGTCCGTCGCCACGTTAATTGTGAGGATGTCTCTGCTCCCGTTTCCCTCGGTCAGAGTTAGCTTCTATCACAACAGCACCCGGTTCAGCAAGCTGTTTGGGGACAAATCATTGCTCGGATTTGGAAGTTGGGGATGCTGAAGCTTGCCTTTTCGGCTTCATAGCGGGCTATCTCGAAGCGTGCTAACGTCTGGATGACGCGTTCTCCCGCATGGATTTGGAAGTCGATGAGAGCTGTACCAAAGTTGAGTTGGCGTTCCTCTTCTAAGTTCTCGAACTTCGTGCTTCAGAGGAACATGAGGTAGGTGATGCCGTCGGTATGGCGGCCACCTATGTTAACGACAAAATTGATAACTGCTGGGGGGGCTCCCATGGCTATGGTCCGTGCGAGACCTCCCAAACCACGCTGCAAGGCTGCAGCTTGCTGGGAGGGCGTCATGTTGCCTCTGGTCACGTTGATCCAGGCATGTACCTCGAGGGCGAATTCGCGAGAAGGTACTTGGGCCGTCTGGGTCCCAGTGGGGGCCGGTCGTTCTTGTGTCGTCTCCGCCACGCATATGTCCTACCGCACACCCGATAGCGACCCATATGAGCCCAAAAATAGTAACACCAATCCAACGGCCCCGTAGGTCGTGGTCGGATGTGGTCGATTGGGGTTTCCGTTGTGTGGTCGTAAGTCTGCGTGGGGGTGGAGGCGGAACTGTATCGTATCGCATGTTTCCATGCATTGTGTCTTCGAAGAAGTTTCCAGTTGGAGTAGGTGGGTGGACTTCAGGAGTGTAGTGGCGCAGGGATGTAGGACGTAAGAAAGAGACCTCCGCGTAAGCATAGGTATCGCTGCAAGTGTAGTTTTATACATTCCTCCGCGCACCCACTGCACCCTGATGTTCCACCATGTCCGTACTCCACCAGATAGTGCCGTGGATGGTGAGGAGTAGAGCTAGAGCTGACCACCATAGGCCAGCTCCGCTACCAAGTTTGATAGGGGTAGGGAAATCCAACCAGCAGCTTCGCCTTAGGCGAAGCCAAGCTCCAGCTCTGTTGTACCGTACTAGCGATGGTTTCAGTAGGAGAGGATGTGCCATCTTAAGCAATAGGAGGGTCCTGTTGGTCTCGATCGCAATCGTGTGCCTCGCGGTGAGGCACAATCATATCTGGGCGGCCGTCCGCTTGAGCCGACGCGGCCGCGGGCACACGCTCGCTTCCGTTCCTTATGTCTCTCAGCTCGGTTTAGAGTTGTTGGGCCATCTTGGGGCCCTTTTGGGCCGTCTTGGAGCCTTCTTTGGGGGCTTCCTGGGCAGTTTGGGGGCGATGTTGGAGGCCTCATGGGCCGTCTTGGACGTTGTGAGTCCAAGAGGCGAATGTGCAAAAATCGCACGTTTCAAGGGAATGGGACGATTTTTAATTAACAGCCTGTGCTGATAGGTTTCTAGTGGGGTCAGAAGAAAGCATCTTGACGCCCCAGGGGGGTCTGGGCAAGATCCGGACAAAACCGGACAAGACCGGCAGCCCCAGGAATCCTCCGGAATCCTTAGGAATTCTTAGGAAACCCAAGGAATCTGTTTCCAGAACGCCATTCCCAGGCCACATTTTGAATGCCCGGAGCAAGCTGTAGGCCACATCGTGTTCTTCGTTCCCAGAACACCATTCCCAGGCCACATTTTGAATGCCCGGAGCCAAGTGTGGGCCTTTTCGTGCTCTTCGTGTTCCCAAAACACCATTCCCAGGCCACATTTTGAATTCCCGGAGCCAACTGTAGGCCATTTCGTGTTCTTCGTGTTCCCAGAACACCATTCCCAGGCCACATCTTGGATGCCCAGAGCCAACTGTAGGCCTTTTCGTGTTCTTCGTGTTTCCAAAACACATTTCCCAGGCCACATTTTGAATGCCTGGAGCCAACTGTAGGCCACGTCGTGTCTTTCGTGATCCCAGAGCACCATTCCTGTATCATATTTTGATTGCCCGGAGCCAGCTGTGGGCCACTTCGTGATCTTCGTGTTCCCAGAACACAAGTCCTGTGCCATATTTTGAATGCCCGACCTGAGGCAGGCTGAGGCAGGCTGAGGCAGGCTGAGGCCGAGGCAGGCTGAGGCTGAGGCTGAGGCACGCCGAGGCAGGCTGAGGCTGAGGCTGAGGCTGAGGCTGAGGCAGGCTGAGGCTGAGGCAGGCTGAGGTTGAGGCTGACGCAGGCTGAGGCCGAGGCAGGCTGAGGCTGAGGCTCAGGCAGGCTGAAGCTGAGGCAGGCTGAGGCTGAGTCTGAGGCAGGCTGAGGCTGAGGCTGAGGCAGAGGCTGAGGCTGAGGCTGAGGCTGAGGCTGAGGCTGATGCAGGCTGAGGCTGAGAGGCTGACGCTGAGGCTGAGGCAGGCTGAGGCTGAGGCTGAGGCTGAGGCAGGCTGAGGCTGAGGCTGAGGCCCGAGGCAGGCTGAGGCTGAGGCTGAAGCTGAGGCAGGCTGAGGCTGAGGCCGAGGCTGTGGCTGAGGCTGACGCAAGCTGCGGCTGAGGCAGGCTGAGGCTGAGGCTAATGCAGGCTGAGGCTGAGGCAGGCTGAGGTTGAGGCTGAGGCAGGCTGAGGCTGAGGCTGAGGCTGAGGCAGGCTGAGGCTGAGGCCGAGGCAAGCCGAGGCAGGATGAGGCTGAGGCTGAGTCTGAGGCTGAGGCTGAGGCAGGCTGAGGCTGAGGCAGGCTGAGGCTGAGGCTGAGGCAGGCTGAGGCTGAGGCAGGCTGAGGCTGAGGCCGAGGCAGGCTAAGGCTGAGACAGGCTGAGGCTGAGGCTGAGGCTGAGGATGAGGCCGAGGCAGGCCGAAGCTGAGACAAGGTGAGGCTGAATGGGGGGGGGGAAGGGGGGGAGGCGGGGAGGCGGAGACAGGCTGAGGCCGAGCCAGGCTGAGGCCGAGGCAGGCTGAGGCTGAAGCTGAGGCAAGCCGAGGCAGGCTAAGGCTGAGGCTGAGGCTGAGGCTGAGGCTGAGGCTGAGGCAGGCTGAGGCTGAGGCAGGCTGAGGCTGAGGCTGACGCAGGCTGAGGCCGAGGCAGGCTGAGGCTAAGGCTGAGGCAGGCTGAGGCTGAGGCCGAGGCAGGCTGAGGCTGACGCTGAGTCAAGCCGAGGCAGGCTGAGGCTGAGGCATCGGTAGGAATCCATAGGAATCCTTAGGAATCCGTAGGAATCCTTAGGAATCCGTAGGCATCCTTAGGAATCCGTAGGCATAGTTAAGCATCCTCAGGAATCCTTGAGATTCCCTAGGAATCCTTAGGAATCCCTAGGAATCCATAGGAATCAGGATTCCTAAGGATTCCTAAGGTTTCCTAAGGATTCCTATGGATTCCTAAGGATGCCTAAGGATACCTTAGAAATCCGTAGGAATCCTTAGGATTCCATTGGATCCTAAGGCCGTTGCCACTGCGACTGTCATTGCGAATGCGACTGCGACTGCGAGAACAGCAGAATTCTACAACTGGATTCTCAGCTGAATCTTAAGGGGAATGCTTCCAGATATGCTTATACACATCGTTGTTAGGTTGCTTTGCCGGGATAATTGCTTCTGGGGGCCCTCTTAGGACGCCTCCTTGGGGCCTCTTGGGAAGTCTCGGGGGCCTCTTGGGCCGTCTGGGGGCCATCTTGGGCGTCTTGGAACAATCCATCGGCGACTCGGGGCCCTCGTGGACTATCTTGTGGGCTTCTTGGGGCCCTCATGGCCCGTCGTGAGGCCCGTGGCGCGTTCACCCGGGGCCGGCCAGACCCCCCCCTCCCCCTCCAAACCGACCGGGCCCCGGGGGGGAAGGGTTTGGGGAGGGGGAAGCAGCACCTCACACGCCGATGACCCCAAAGGGTCGGCGGATTTTCATTCGGTTGTTTTATGTTGTTTGGGTTTTCGCCTTTCGGATTTCTGGCGGCCCAGGACGGCGCAAGAGGCCCGCCCCCACGATCTTTTCAAGATGGCCCGAGCCAATAGGGCCCCAAGGCGCCCGAACACGGGGGCACCCACACGGCCTCAAAGGACTCCGAGACGGCCCAAGATGGCCCCGAGAGGTTTCCAAGAGAGCCTCGTGGGCCCCACGAGGCTCCAAATAGGGCCCCGAGAGGCCCCAAGGAAAGGTCCAAGACGACCGAAGGCCTCCAAGACGGCCCAAAAGGGCCCAAGAGGGCCTCAGGAGAGCCCAACAGGGCCCCAACAGGACCCTGAGGAGGCAGACGACCCTGAGGTTTTTGCACGTGTTTTGGGTCCTCGCCTTTTCGGGTTCTTCCGATGGCCCAGGACGGCCCAAGAGGCCCCCAAGATCGTCCCAAAATGGCCCCAGAGGTCCCCAGGAGGATCCCAAGGCGTCCCAAGATCGTTCTTCTCCCCATTCTCCTCCTCATCATCATCAGCAGCATCACCACCACCACCACCACCACCACCACCACCACCACCACCACCACCACCACCACCACCACCACAGCCACCACCACCAGGACGACCACCACCACCAGGACGACCACCACTACCACCATCATCCACATCGCCCTCGCCTTCGCCCATGTCATCCTCATCCGCCTCCTCTTCCTGATCTTCCTCTTCCACCTCCTGGGAGGACTGGACGCGGACTTGCGGGAGGTCCCCACGGGCTGCTCGCAGCTCGTAGGGAACTTGCCTCTGGGAACCTCCCTCCGTTGGGTCGACTGCAGGAGGTGCTATCCGGCGGGACAGCAGGGTCCCCCCCCCCTCCTCCTCTTTCTCCTCCTCCTCCTCCTCTTCCTCCTTCTCCTCCTGCTCCTCCCCCTCCTCCTCCTCCTCCTCCTCCTCCTCCTCCTCCGATCCGGCGGGACAACAGGGTCCCCCCCTTCCGCCCAATGTCGAAACGCCGAATGAAAACCACGTTCACTTTCGCGCGATCAGAGCCCCCCCCAGGCTTCACTGGCATCATCAGCATCGACCGCACCGAGAGCGACTCGATGCAGATCTACAAGGACTGGCGGTGGCCGCCTGGACTGCAATAGTTGTCCTATAGGGTCCAACCAAATTCTGTATCAGAGCTATTATTTTCGCGGTCGATAGCCCCAGAGATCCAACGTATTGAACAAATCAAGACGTAGGTTTTCCATATTTTCCGGCCTCGAGGGGTCCTCGCTGGGCCCCGGGACCGTGGAATAACGATTCAGGCTGAAAACGTGGTCCTGGGGAATGGGTCGAGACTTCCAGGGACCCCGTATTGATCACGACATCGGATCTCTGGGACGGGCTTAGTCTGGGTTAATCTGGCCTAATCCGGCTTCATCCCGAGTAATCCGGTTTAGTCCCAGACTTATCCGTAAGGGCTTCGCCCCATGCCGCCGGCCCCCTGTCTCGGATTATGGGAGATGCAACAGCTAAATCATGAGGTCTGGGCGCCGCCGTGAAGCAGTGTCGGGACCTGTTTGTTTTTCGACCCTGACCCTACGGGTTTGTATCACGGGTGCCACCGAATTTCAAACATGTGGCAAATCCCATGTGATTTTGGACCCTAAGGCTGCCGATCTGCGTCAGGGGTGCCACCGAATTTTAGAAATGTAGCAAATCCCTTGTGTTTTTGGACCCTGACCCTGCCGATCTGCGTGAGGGGTGCCACCGAATTTTAGAAATGTAGCAAATCCGTGTGTTTTTGGACCCTGACCCTGCCGATCTGTTTGAAGGGTGCCACCGATTTTCAGAAATGTAGCAAATCCCCTGTGTTTTTGGACCCTGACCCTGCCGATCTGAGTCAGGGATGCCACCGAATTTTAGAAATGTATCAAATCCCTTGTGTTTTTGGACCCTGACCCTGCCGATCTGTTTGAAGGGTGCCACCGATTTTCAGAAATGTGGTAAATCCTATGTGTTTTTGGACCCAGACCCCGCCGATCTGCGTGAGGGGTGCGACAGAATTTTAGAAATGTAGCAAATCACCCCGTGTTTTTCGACCCTGACCCTACGGATCTGCGTGAGGGGTGCCACAGAATTTTAGAAATGTGGCAAATCACGTCGTATTTTTGGACCCTGACCCCGCCGATCTGCATGAGGAGTGCCACCGAATGTCAGAAATGTGGCAAATCCCATGTGTTTTTGGACCCTGACCCCGCCGATCTGCGTGATGGGTGCCACCGAATTTCAGACATGCGGTACATCCCTTGTGTTTTTGCAAGAAACAATAATCAAGATACGGGGGCCTTCTCTACGTCCTTCAGGGGCCTCGGTGCGGCGCGACATTGCACCGTTGATCGGCCCCGGAAGCGGCGCAACACTGTGCGTGGTGGAGGAGAACCTGAGAGAAGACCTCATTCGCTGTCTCATTCGGTCTCACTACCGATCTCACAATCGATATCACTATCGACGTCATCATCATCATCATCATCATCATCATCATCATCAACATCAACATCATCATCATCGCCATCATCAACATCATCTCATCATCATCATTACCATCATCATCATAATCACCATCAACATCATCATCGGGACACCGACGGGACACCGACGGGACACCGGCGGGACACCGGCGGGACACCGCGCGCCACCGGCCGCCCGGCGGAGAATCATTTGGTCCGGCCGCGCCTCAGCCACACGACTTCCTCTCGCCCGCCCACGCAGCTTCGCCTCGCCCGCACGGCACGCACGAACACGAAACCGAAATCGATTTCCCGGTAGGGGGGCTCTCCGTTCCACTTCGATCTCACCCCCCAACCTCCGACATACATACATACATACATCCATCCATCCATCCATCCATACATACATACATACATACACACGTGCATTCATGCATGCATGCGTGCATACATGCATGCATGCACATACATACTTGCTTATGTACATACATCCGTACATCTACGCATACATCTAAACATCCATACACCCAGTCATACACTCATGCACACATGCATCAATGCATCAGTGCATCCATGCATACACTCACAAACAGATAGACAGACGTGCACGCATGCATGTATGCATGCATGCATGCATACACAAGCACACATGAACACATACACACGTACACACGTGCACGCATACATACATGCATACATACACACATAAATGAACACGTACATGCATACACACAAACATACACATGTGCATGCATTCATGTATGCATCCATACATGCACGCCAATGCTCATGCTTGCATGCATGCATGCACACATGCGTCCGCCCATCCATGCATACAAGCATACATACATAGACATGCGTGCGCAATTACTTACATATATGAGCACATACATACATACACACATACACACATCCATGTATCCATGCACACAGGCATACACGCAGGCATTCTAACATACGTGTATACACATGTGTAGATCTATATACATATTGAGGTGTATGTAGTCACATAGATTTCGCTCCTTCTCTCTCCAATACCATCGTTTGTGTCTGCCGCGCTTCATCCTCTGTCGCCATCCCCACGCTCCCCTGCCCCCACCTTCGTCGCGTCTGCGCGCTCGTCTGCACCGCGCCCAGAACAAGCAGTGGGCCAACTTCATGCACAGCAAGACGCTGAAGGCCACGTCTGTGTTGCTTTTTATTTGCGCGCTTGGGAAAAGATGGGAACGAGGAGGAACACGCTTTCTGCATCGGGGAAGGGAACAGAACAAGGAGGGAGAGGGGAAGGAGGATTAGGAAAGGGTATACCAGCAACCGCACAGCGAAGTAGGGTAAAACGATGAGAAATCGAGTAGGAAGAAGTCTGGCGCATCTGGGGAAGGGGGGAAACAAGGGAATGAGCGAAAGGAGGTGCTGGAAAAAGGGAAGCATGCAATTCCACTGGCAGCAAGAAACGATTGAAACGAATGTGCGGATGGACGAGGAAGATGAGGACGATCAATGGGGGAAGAGGAGAAGGATAATGAGGAGGAAAACGGGTAGGACAATGGGGAACAAGAGGAGCACGACGACTTCGAGGAGGGATAGGCTGGGGGATGCTGGGGGGGAGGGGCTGGGGGTGGGACAGATGGCATCGGACTCTTGTCGGGATAGGCAGTTGCGAACACACGCCTTCGGTCTACGAACGAAGGCTGGGGAGAGAGAGAAAACAGGAGGAGGAGGAGGGAGGAAAGGGAGAGGTCGAGCTATGTAGCGCTGATGACCGTGATATGCGGCTGTCCAGAGGCACGGGGCCCTGAGGATAGGAAAAGGTCGTTGGACTCGTGACTCTCCGCGTATCCCCGCCAGCACATCCAGAAACGATGCCCGGGAAAGCTCACGGGAGAACGCACCAAGGAGGGCGGGCCGAGGTCCGTCCGGGCGCTTTGAGTGCGCCCGCTGCGCCCATCTCTTGGGGTGGGGGTTGCCGCGTGCGAATGGCTGCGGTGGGAAGAGGTGGAGTTCCCCCTGGCGCGGTCGAAAGGACCCCGAGGGGAAAAACAATGACGAGAAGTGGCCATGAGGACGGATCTCGTCCCTGCTGCACCCCGGGAAGGAAGAAGGAGGCACCGGCCTCTAGCGTGTTCTGGCGTGTGCGCCCGGGGGCCCGGGGAGGGGAGGGCGCCGCTCTGTGGCACCTTCCTCGGCGGCCCAGCGCCGTGTCCGCGGATCGCGTTGCTGTGTGGTCGCGAAGCGCGCGGGAACACGGGGCTCACAGAGCAGGTGCAAGCTCAGAGAGCCAACGCATTGAAAAAACCGAGACGTAGGTTTCTCTCATTCTTCGGCCTCGAGCGGCCCTCGCCGGGCCCCGGGACCGTCAAACAACGACAAACCGGTCCTGGGGAATGGGTCGAGTCTTCGGGGGACCCCGCATTGACAAAATCACGACATCGGATCTCTGGGAACTTGCCCGCCCAGCCGAGGTGTGCGAGGGCCTCCCCGCGTAAACCGAAGGGCGGCAGGACCCGAGAAGCAGCGGCCGGGCGAGCACGGGCGCTTCGGGTTCTGCCCGGCCCCGCGCCGGCGGCCAAGAGGCCAAGAGGTGTGCCGCCAGCGTGACTGCTCCTTCTTTCGAGCGCGCCTGGCGCCCGGTTGGAGCGCGGCGTCCGCCAGCTAGTGCCGTATCCTCCTCCTCGGCCGAATGCGGAAGGTCAGAAGGCCTCGGTGCGAACGCAAGCCAGGCCCGTGGTCGCAGCCTGCCCACGGGCCGCATCCAGGGGCTCCCACACGGCGATGCAAGCCATGTCCCCGATGGAGTGGTCCTGACCTTGCGCGGGCAATGCACCTGGTGGCGCACACCCGAACTGGGCAGACGGAGGAGGGCACGGCGGTGGAAGACGGAGGTAGTGGCAGCGGCGCCGAGAGGCAGCAGGGAACATGGGGCTGGTGCCCCCAAGAGGCAGCAGACCGTCGGTCAGTTCACAGACGGCGTCGGAGTAGTTAGGGGGTCGGGCGACGACGCCGTCGTCGTCGTGGTACGTCGGGCCCCAGCGGTGGTTGAAGGCGTCAAGCCGGGACAGGCATCAATGATGGGCGTCGTCCGCTTCCATGGTGAGGCGCCGGAAGGAGGCGTGCACGACCATCACGCCCGTAGCGTCACGGTCGGCGCCGAGCGCGTCGTCAAGTCAGAAGGTGGGGGTGTAGAGACCGCATGCCAGAGTCAGTCGCGTGGCCCGGGGCAGGGCACGCGGCAGGGAACGCAGTGCTCGCGCGCGTAGCTTGAGGCATTGGTCCACTGTCGGCGTGTCTGGCCCAGGGAGGGGCCGTCTTCCGCAGCCCCGAGGGCGGGTCGGAGGTCGGTCACCGTCGTGGGGCAAATGCCCCGAGAGATGGCGCGACGGCCTGGTGAGAGCAGCGGCCGTCGGGGGCCGTGAGTGTTCTCATGCCTGGCGTACGGTGGAGTCGCCGTCGCCGGCCTTGTGGCCTCCTCCTCCTCCTCGTCCTCCGCTTCCTCCGTAGCCATTTTGGCTCAAGGCTAAACGCTGTGAAGGGCTATACAGACGCCCTTCCGCAGCTCTTCTCGAGATCTGAGGCCCACAGGGGGCTCTCATCTTACCCAACCAGTCTCTTCGTTCGCTCCCCAAGTCATGGAGCGCAGGGGGATCAAGAAGGCACTCAGCAAGAGCCGCAGCCGTGACCGCTTTGACTCTCCGCCGAGGCGCCGCCATCACTCAGCCGACAGTGCCATCAGTAGGCGGCCAGCAGGGAGAAGTGCACCCTCATCCTCCAGTGAAGCACGCCGTCATCACGATGATCGGTCGCCTGAGCCTACCGAGCCTGCCTCTCCCTCCGTTTCATCCTTGGAGGGCAGAGCTAGCTCCGCACCCAATGTGATGGACGCCATGCGCGCGATGATGCAGAGCATGGAAGCCCACATCACCGCTTCGATCGACAGCAGCTCTGCCGCAGTCCAGAGGAGAATTGACCACCATACGGCCTCCATCATCGCCCTGGACGCAAGGGTTGCCAGCACCCAAGTCAACCTCAACGCCCACCAGGAGCAGATCCAGATCTTCGCCCAGCAGTTGCAGATCGTGGCCAACAGTCGGACCAATAGCACCGCCAGCGAGAGTGGTGCCAGCTTGGGAACTTATAACACGCGAGTGCCAAGTACCCCTTCGAGCCGTGGGCCGCAGCAAGGAGGCACAAACCCGATCGTTCGCTTCACCAGCACCTTCGCAAGGCCCGTGCGCAAGTCCGTCCGAGAGGCCCACTTTCAGAACATCGTGAGCACCCACCCCCACCTCCTGCAGGGAGCCGAGCCGACCTTCCACGCCGTCGCGCAGAGCTACAAGACCCGGTTCCCCTCTCTCGCCAGCGCCAAGCAGTTCACTGAGAGCATCAACCCCGCCGTGCTCCAGTGGATCGACCCCAGGAACGGTGCAGCCCATCAGCTCCGAGTTCGGCAGGACCTACCCATCGATGTACGCGATCGTCAGCGGCAGATCAGCCGCATCTGCCAGCCCATTCTCGACATGCTCCGCCAGCGCCCCGAGTGGAACCAAGAATGCAAACTCGGGGTCAACGGCTTCAAAGGAGAGATGATGATAAAGCTCGGGTGTTCTCACGACTAGGAAAACTGAAACAAGACAAGAGAAAACTGAAACACGACAAGGCACGGCTTATTCACGACAAGCATTTTCGGCGCCCACTTTCGCCGCCCACTTTCGGCGCCCACTTTCGCCGCCCACTTTCGGCGCCCACTTTCGCCGCCCACTTTCGGCACCCACTTTCGCCGCCCACTTTCGGCGCCCACTTTCGCCGCCCACTTTCGGCGCCCACTTTCGCCGCCCACTTTCGGCATCCACTTTCGCCGCCCACTTTCGGCGCCCACTTTCGCCGCCCACTTTCGGCGCCCACTGTGGGCGCCGAAAGTGGGCGGAGCTCGCTCGGAGCTCGCGCGGGCCGTCTCTCTAAAGCTCGCGCGGAGCTCGAGGGGCCTCGCGCGGGGCCCGCTCGCGTGAGACTCGCGCGGCGCCCGTGCGAGGTTTCCTCCAGCACATGGGTTATCGCGGGCGCGGGCGGGTGCTCCGCGCACACCCGTGCGAAGGTCAGAAGAGGGCTCTGGCAAGCTGGCGCGTGGCTCGGGCGAA